TTTTTTTTTTTTTTTTCAATCTTTGTTTTTATTGAGGCTTAGGTTGGGGGTCAGTACAGAAAGTAAAACAGGAGGTTAATGCATGAGAAGCATACGTCATACAGAACTGGTTATACAATGGCTACATGCACTCTCGAGCATAACGGCCTCTTTTTTATGAAAGTTTCAACTGCGGTATTATATAGGCTAAACAAGTTATGTATGCGAAATACTAGAGGTTCACTTAGCTAAGTCAGATTCAAATCTGAACGTTACCACGCTGGTATGTCTAAGCATGGAAATGGGTAGCAGTGGCCAGTCAACAGGCTAGTTTATCAACGCTGATTTGGCCCTCCGCTTATGTGGAGCGGTGTATTTGAGTAAGTTGCAAACACTCTAACATGCTAGACTAGGTATGTATACAATAAAAGTTGTTGCTCGTAAGCATGTATGATTATGCTAAGTATATTAATAAACAGGCTAGTCACGCTTGTCTAATGAGAAGTCTTACAAGTTAAACATTAATGCAGGCATAGAACGGTAAACGATATACGACAAAGACCTTACTCCATAGTTGTTAGCCCTGTAACAAAGTCAATAGGCCAGATTAAGTTTTGTAAGGCTCATACATTGCATATGCATTTCGATTAATAATTATAGGTAAGTGAGTTAGGTCGATGCAAGTCGTGAGTAACATAAGTGTTTTCTAGATTAAATGCTTGAAATAGAAACCTGGACTTACACATATTAACACATGTTATAGTTTAAACTGAGAACAGAGTCTTTGTAAAATTTGCTTATCTGAGAGAGTCCGGGGTTAGGTACGACGTCCGTGTAGGTAGAAGCGATAGGCGTCCCGGTGAAGTGTAAAGGTAGGCAGCAGGGTAGCAAAGGTTAGTAGACTGTGAGCTTGTGGTACAGATGAGCGTTCAGCCCACTCCACAGGGTGGAATGGTGTTGTAATTTACGACAGCCAGTCCATCAGGATGAGGGGGGAGACCTTCCTGACCTCGAACTTGGTTGGGGGGCTGCCCAGCTTCCCCTGTATGCCTGCTTTGACCAGCTGGTCGCTTGGCCCTCCATGCTGTGATTCTCCTCCTGCACCTTCTGATTCCAGGTCGCTTGAGTGCCACTTGTCTTCGGCCCAGGGCTTTGACGGGGGCCCGTACCACATTTCCATTGACCCCATCATCAGGGTCGTGGGCCCAGGGTTCCACCGGGTCCCGGCTATTTCCCTGTGTGTGTGGGTGGTGAAGAGTGAGGTTGGACACTGGGTGTGTGGAGGGCTCGAAGCACCCTGTGGCCTAGCTCCGGTGCTGGTTTTCCTCTCGTGCATTTGCTCGTTGGCGGGGGACATTTTCTTCCGCGGCGCCGTCTTGGGGCACTGTGTAGCGGAGGAGTAAGTAGCTTGGGGCTAGGTTGCTTGGGTTTCATGTGTGCGCTCGGTTTGCGCTGCCGTGCCCGGTTCTCCAGCTTTGCCCAGAAGGCTGCAAAAATAGCGTTAAGCCTGGCTGAGTAGTCCGGCATTTCCGTGTGGCAGTCTGTTGTTTCGCCTGATGTGCTTGCTGCCGCCATTTTGGGTTCGCCACGTGCTCGGCTGCCCTGGTGCTGCAGTTCACCGAGCTGTGAGTTCAGCCCGTGACTGCTTCTCCAGTCGCTGAATGTGGACCGAGATGACCCCCATCGGTCCAGAGGGGGGGGGGTTGGAGGTGAGAGCCCTGAGGGGATCCATGTCCAGGTCTGTCAGCACGGGGAGCGGCCGTCTCCCCACTGCTCGATCTCCGGTAGGCCTCAGGGTATGTTGTCGGGTCCCCGGGGGGTTACAGACTTGATTTCGGTATCGGGTAGTTCCCCCAGCTTATCTCCAGTGTGCGATTGTGCCGTGTTTTTGGGAGATAACCCCCCAAAAGTGTAGGATTAAGCAGCAGCTGAGGTTCAGCACAACCATTCAGCTTGGATGCTAGGCTCCGCCCCCAGTGTCTCCTTTTCTAATGATACCTCCTCCCTTTGTCCTGTCTTGGTTGGAGTCCCCAAAGGCTCTGTCCTTGGTTCCCTTCTATTTTCTC